CACACTTGCCCTATATTATTAAAGATACTAAATCCCTTGTTAAATCACTTGATGGAATTTCTATTCCTCAAGACGAAAGACTTTTATGGCTAGTTACTGGTGATGTGTCTTCAATGTACACTAATCTACCTACTACCCCATATGCTTTCGATGTTATTGCTAAAACTGTTGACAAATATCTTCCTCTTTCTCCAAATGATACTACCCTTATCAGAGAAACACTCAAGTTTGTCATGAGCAATAACTATTTTACTTTTCAAGGAATACCATATCATCAGGTCTCAGGTATTGCTATGGGTACTGCATGCGCTCCTGCTTATGCAAATATCTTGATGCATCATTTCGAAGAACGTTTCTTTGAATTTAATCCTGATTTTACTCTGATCTTTTATGGTCGATATATCGATGATATCTTTTTCATGTTTAAAGGTTCTGAACAAGAACTTAAAACTTTCTTGACTACTTTTGATACCAAACGTGCTTTTAGTAATCAATTAAAGATATCTTGGGATTATTCAACTACCTCTGTTAGTTTTCTTGACCTTCAAATTCATGCAAAACATAATAAAGTTGAATTATCCACACATCAGAAAATGCTTAATAAATACTTGTACATTCCATTCTCTTCTTATCATCCCAAAGATAATAAAGTTGGTTTTATTAAAGCTGAACTGATCAGATATATTCGTAACAGCTCTTCCTATCGAAGTTTTGCTAACACTGCTAAACAATTTTTTACTCGTTTACGACTCCGTGGTTACCCGCCACGATTCTTAATCTGGGTCTTTAGCCAAGTGCGTTACGATGACAGACCGAAATATCTAGAAGATGCTCCTCTTAGTACAGATAATACTCTTGTTCCTTTTGTTACAATGTATAATCCTATTTGGGAGACTCCACATCTTCGTAAAGGACTTAGGGAATTTTTTACTTTAAATCCACACTACAGACCAGTAGTTGCTTTTAAAAGAAATAAAAACATAGCTGATTTATTAAATCGTGCCAATGTACGCAAGTTAACGGGAAAACAGTTCCATTCATTACAACAGGATGGACTTTGTTGGATTTCGTCTAAAAAACGTAAACCATAACCCTTACCCTATCCCTAACCCTAACCCTAACACTAACACTAATGTTGATACCTCACACCAACACTAGTGCTTTAAAAAATTTGACCATGAAAGACCCCTCTTGGCCTCATGAAGAACAAATTTTTCACTTACCTTACCCTTACTTACACTGTGGACATTCCTGGTTGTAAGATCCTGATCATGCTTTCTATTAAAAAAAAGAAAACTGTCAGAATAACTCCTGAAATCTGCTCATATTTTACCTTGTAATTACCTCGGACTTGTTCTGTGGGACAGCGGCTTCTCTTATGGGAAGGGTTATAAGTAGTAAAATATATAGAGTGTTTTCAAAATAAAAAATGTGGGCGATAAAAATCCCCAATTTTTTCCAGGGTATTTATATTTTTTTCACCATTAGTCTCGGCACTTAACACCGAGTCTAAAAAAGGATCTCGGCACTTAACGCCGAATCTAAAAAAGATCTCGGCACTTAACGCCGAATCTCGGCACATAAACGCCGAATCTCGGCACATAAACGCCGAATCTCGGCACATAACGCCGAGTCTAAAGGGATCTCGGCACTTAACGCCGAGTCTAATCTTCCCTTAAATTTCCAGATCACGTCTTTCACCCGACTTATTCCGACTTTCGTGTGAAAAAATAATTTTTCAAAAAGATATATAAAGAGCTAGTATAATGCACCTGAAGAAGCTACATCTCTTGTAGCGAATAGATTCAATCTAAGTGTTTCTAGACTCTCTCCTTTGTTGCTTCTTTGGTTTTTGGATATATTTTCTATTATTATCTCTCTAACCCTAACCCTAACCCTAACCCTAACTCTGACCCTAACCCTAATCCTAACCCTAATCCTAACCCTAATATTAACATTAATACTAATCTTAACCCTAATTCTGACCCTAACCCTGAGCTTAACACTATCCCTAACCCAAACCTTAACATTAACTCTAACTCTATTCATGATTATAACCATTTCATTAACCATAGTCATAATTCTATAAGCTTAACATTAACATTAATCATATTCCTAATATTAAAATCCTGATATTAATTATTCATAACCCTAATTCTATTCATAATCTCTCATTCTTTAATATTGACATAGTCCCTAATATTAATCCTAGTTTAACTCTATGCTATTCCTATTCCTGATCCATAACCCTATTTCTAATTTTATCCCTGTTCATAATTTTTTATCTCTATTTCTGTCTCTAATTCTATCCCTATTCTTAATCCTATCCATATGCCTAATCCTGACCCTAATATTATCATTATCCTGTTCTTAACCCTAATATTATCCCTGTTATTAACCTTATTCATATCTTTATTCCTAACCCTAATATTAATCTTACTCTTGTTCCTAAACTCTAATTGTAATTCTATTTTATAACCTTATTCTACTAATAATCCTAGGTTTATCTGTTATATTCTTCCTAATCCTGATCGTATTTATATTCATAACTCTAATCATAATAGTATCATTAATCATAATCTTGATTATACATCTAATGCTACTTTAAACTCTAACTATATGTTTAATCCTATTCATGTTCTTTTTTCCCTATTTATTATCTTAATCCTAATCTTATCCCTAATTTTATCATGTTTTTTTTATTATTATATATATATATATATGTGTGTTATTTTTAATATTATCTATTATCCTTTATTTATATATTTATTATGTGTATTCCTTTGTCGTGTCTTCGTGTTGTGAAATATTGTTATGCATTTATGTATTCTATTTTGCTATATAAATATCATCGTGTTCATTGTATAGCGGTAATTATTTTTTCTCTGCTATGGTAATGCATTCGCTCCGCTATGGTAATGTATTCGCATTTTATTTTCTTTTATTTTTTTTTATTTTTTTTTTTACTGTTCATATTCTCTCTTGTTTGTTTTTTTTTTCTTTATCTCTGTTATTATTGTTATTATTTTTTTCTACTCTGTCTGTTTCTTTTCTCTACCCCTTTCCCGTTTTCTGTCTTCTTTTGCCTATTCTTTTCTCCTTTTATGTGTATTTTTTTTTCGTAGTTTCTTCCTCCTTTCTCTTTCTATAATTCTTTTTATTCCATTTCCTCGTCTCTGTGTATTTTATCCCCTATCCCTTCCCTTTTTTTCTTGTTTGTTTCTCCCTTCTCTCTGTATATACTTTCTCTGTTTTTGTTATTCTGTATTTCCGTTCTCTCTACCCCCATTTCTCTGTCTGAGTTTTTGTCCAACTTTCTTTTTTTCATATATCTTTCTCTGTTTATATTTGCGTTTCTCCTTCGTTTTTTCTTTATATGCTTGTTATCCCGGTCTCTTCCTGTGATTTATCTTCATATTTCCCTTTTCTGTTCTGCTTATATTCTTTATCCTCCTTCTCGAACCTTTTTCTTTCCGACTTTTTTTCTCTATTCATTCCTTTCTGTTTCTTTATCGCATTTTCTTTCCTTGACATTGTTTCTTTCGCCTTTCTTTTATCTTTGCCTATTTTCTTCTTTCATGTTCATTTTTTTTTTGATTTACTTCTCTTTTCGCTTTCTTTACTTCATTTCTCTTTTTTTTTGTTAATTTATTCTTACTCTTTTCTTTGCTTCTTATTCTTTACATTACTTCCATTTCTTTCGTCTTTTTGCTTTCCTACCATCTCCTTTTATATATCTTTTTTTTTCTTTGTCTTATATATTACATTCTGTCTTTTCATGGGTTTCTTTGCTTCCCTTTATTGATTTTGTCTATTATTTGTACTTTTTTTCTTAACTGTCTCAGTTTTTCTATCTGTTTTGTTTTATTTACCCGTTTGCATTCTTTTCTGTTTATTTTTTTTGTTCAATACCTCTCTCTTTCTATGTATTTATTTTTTATCATTTTAATTCCTAATTTTTCGGGTCCTTGTTTATCTAGTATTCGTTCCCATACTTGTTGTTGCTTCTTTTCTTATTATCTCAGTCTCATCCTTTCCCTTCTTCGTTCTTTTCTTAGTATCACAACCTTTTCTTATTCTTTTCATTGTTGCTTTGTTCTATTCTGTTTTGATTTTTTCTTTTAATTGTCACTATTCATTTCTTTATCACATTCCCTCTTTTATATATATTCTTTGTCTAATATCCCAATCTCTTCTTGTGGTGTTCTTACTTTTTGTCTAATCCCTCCTTTTTTTCCCTTTGTCCATTCTTTTGTCCTATTATATCAACGTTTGTTTTGTCGGGTATCATATTGAAAGCCGATGATAAGTTGTATCTTGTTCATCATTTTCCTCCATTGTTATTTTTCATTATTGATGAGCGATGTTGATGGCTTATTTAAGATTTATGACAACATATCAAGAAAGTGTAATGCTAATTATCCTGTCATGAACCAAGCTTCGATCTGGTACCTGGATTTAGAACCATGCAGTCCAAGTGTTATGTCTTCTTTATGCTTATCTCATCTCGGTGTTCAGGATTTAGGAGTATTAATTGATAGCCATTAGTAATCGATTAGTCATCATTAGTAATCATTATGTCATGCCAAGCTTTATGCAACCTTATCATGTCAAGTACCTATCAACGTCAAGTATCAAGCCAATGTCATAATTATGTAATTATGACTCATGTTTCAGATTACGAATCATTACGCTTATCCATGCTATATCCCTGTCTCAGCATTTATGTCCGCATCTCTTGTCAAGTATAAATATCATGTCCTTTTCCCCTCCATCCTTGACAGTTGTAGATTATCTTGTATATCTTATTCTCACTTACTTCAAGATAATCGTTTTGTTAAATAAATCCTCTGTTGAAATCAAGTTCTTGACACTATAATCTACCAAACAACTCCCCCACGTACGTTTTTCAAGTCACCTAAAGTCAAGCCACCCGAAGCCAAGCCACCCAGAAGTTTTTCAACCCCCGAAAATTTCCAAGTCACGAATTAGACACAACAATGTCATTATCGGAGGAACAGATCCACACCCTGCACGAGGTTATCTCACAATTCCGAGCACTACAGGATACTTTGCCGACACAACTGCAAGGCATTCGAGATACTTTGACCACTCAACAACAGCAAATCAATAATTTGTTAAATAGCTCAAATATCCCAAATGATTCGAACATCAAGGTTCCATTACCCTCCCCGTTCAACGGCAAACCTGGCCAATGCGGCACCTTCTTCTCTCGACTGGCAGTATATTTCGCAGCGAGCACCACCTATACACTACGGCCCAACTGATGTTCTCATGAGAACATCGATGTGCTCATATGAGAATCTATTTGATGTTCTCAAATGAGCACATCGATGTCCCGAAAGGTGAAAAATGCTCTCATATGTGAACATCGGCGTTCCTCAAGGTCTATTATAAGTCGGCCGATGTTCTTCTGAGAACATCCGAAATGTTCCCATGTGAGCACATCCATACTGTTATATGAGCACATCCATACTGTTATATGAGCACATCGATTTTCAGAAATTTGAAAAAAAAAATGCTCCTACCGGGGTCGAACCCCCAACCTATCGGTTGTGAATCTGACGTTCTTACCACTAAACTACTCGAATATCTTATTGATGTGTCAGATGCTAATACGCAGAGGTAGTATATGCAATCTGAGATCTGATCGAGATATAAATGGAAGTAGATATAGAGAGTGTGCAGTAAGATGTTATAGCCTTTTAGTTGAATGGATAAAAAGGTGCTTTATTAATATTAGATTTAAACATTGATTTTATCCAATATAGTTTGTGTAATGTTTTGCGCTATCCAGGTTAATCACTGTTTAATGTTCCTGGTAGCTGGCGCTCTAGGTTTAAACCTGCGCTTCTTATTCTTGTTTGTGTTTAGTCTGTCAATGATATTCTGCAGATCTAAATCACTGTCAGTATACCCTTCAGCCCTGACATTGAAATATATTCTTTCGCTTTAATAAGTAGTTATTAGGTAATTTTAAATTGCCATTTTCTCGTGCAACTTATAATACGTTTAGTAATTTTATGAATCTTACAGATAATAAAAGTCTCTCTGTTGCCTACAATATTATAGTTTAGCTATTCAAACCATTTTATTCATGTGGAAAACTGCACCTTCTCAAATGAGGACATCAATGTGCTCATGAGAACATCAGTTGGGCCGTAGTGTATAAATATTATGTCCTTTTCCCCTTCATCTTTTCCAGTTGTAGATTATCTTGTATATCTTATCCTCACTTACTTCAAGATAATCGTTTTGTTAAATTAATCCTCCGTTGAAATCAAGTTCTTGACATAACCATTGACGCTTGATAGCATATTTATAAGTTGGTTGGTGCTCTCTCGTTACTGTTAAGAGCTTTCTATATTTTTTTTAATAGTAAAACTGAAATTTATTATAACAGTTTAATGATATAATGATTTCAAACCATTTTTTTTACTGATTATTCCAGAGCACGCACTATGTAGTGGTATATATGAGACCGCTCAGTGAAGCAATCTCTAATGAGTGTTTAGAATAACGAAATATAGACGGAGTAAATACAATTAGAACTGAATATATTTATTATGTTATTCCAAGATTGAATAGGGATCAAAACTAGTGTAGATATCAAAGGTATTTATAGTTATTTGACAGTGCCGCAGCAATAGGACCTTGATCTTGAATGCGGGATAATTGTATAAGCCTTGAACCAGTAGCGAGGATGTGCTGCATCAAAACTCATGAACCACCAGTCAAGGATAAACAACAAAGATGATCCAGGATAGAATGTTCTTCCTAATGGCTTTGACGGAAGAACATTTGTCGGAATTGAAACCCACTTCCAGGGACGAAAGGCCATAGGTTACCACTCTCTAGGAACCAGGATATAGATTAGCCATTTGATGGCACCACTCATGTTCCTTCGTGCTGCTTGAATAAAGACCTCTCACTTCTACTATGCATCTCAGCTCATTCTCACATTCTCTTATGTAATATACAACGCCTAATACATTTGCCTCTCAGAGATGATCTATATCCTCAATAATGAGATAATAACTGGAAAACATTTTCTATAAGTTCGCATACGCGAACTGGGCTATCTTCGGCTATCTTAGGCTACCTTCCCCTATTTTTCAAACAGCGAGGTACTCGGTGTTTGGGAAATGTTACTAGAAATGATACCTCATGTTTCATGGTACTCAAGCACCGTGAGTCTTGCTTCTGATTGGCCATTTAAATGATACCTGTAATAATAGGATATCCTATTCTTATGTATCACTTGCCCTTTGTTCTGATTGGCTTTTAGCGTGATGCCCATGGTACCCATGGTACCTAAGGTACCATTTCTCGACGACTCACGACGTGAGTCGCCCAGAAATGTTATTATTAGGAAGAACAAAGCGATTTGCCCCTTAGTTATACTTCCAAGAGAATTGTTACATAATATCGTTGACCACTTTCAGCTTGAAAATTTTTCACGTCTGAACAGTACGAGCAGAGCGATTAGAAGCTGTTTGAAGCCCATCAAAGTAAATATCCTTGTGGTTATCAATGAACGTCAAATGACAAGATGGTGTTATGTCAAAATACAATGTAAAATTGAATCTGCCAAAGAATTACACTTTTATTGAGAATGCATCCCAAGGATGCATTTATATACTTTTCATTATGCTAGGGTTTACAGCATGATGATGAACTATAATACAAATAGGTTTACTATCTACCCAACAATTGATTTGTAAATCATGATTAGCATGATTTACCCAAAGGACCTAAGAATAGCCTAAAACCTTTAGTGTGAGACCTTGCTATGACATTTGATATAACACCACCCCACACCAGCATAAGACACATGCGAAACTTGGACATAACCATTGTTGTAGTAGATTGTAGTTGTAGTAGTTCATATAGTATATAATAGGCCGACATAACAAAAAAAGAAAAAAAAAAAGAAAACCATCATTAATATATGACAATCTGGTGCATGTTACTGCTTGATTAATCTTATGTATAGTAAACATGAATTGCATATATAACTTATGTATAGATTATTGGTATAGATAATTAATCATTAGGGCAACCGTTAAAAACCTATACACATCCAAAACCCGATGGGACAAAAGGAACTGTGAACAGGAAAAGGTATAGCCTTTCACCAAACAATTATACATCATCTTTAGCTAATAACCTTTCGCGCTTATTTCTTGATTTAGTCTCTCGCGTAGCAATCTCTCGGGTACTCAGAGCTTTCGGTGCCTTGCCCTTAGATGTCTTGCTATTATTAGCATTTACTCGCGCCCAATACTGCTTGACCACATCAGGAGAATCAAACATAGATGGAGGTTCCCATGAATTCCAATCTTCACTATAACCTTTCCATTTTACCAAATACTTGTAATTGGGTGCGCTACCTTTGTGATTGATAATAGCTTCGACGACATACGCATTTGAAGGATTGTCTCTAGTATCACTTGTGCTAATCAACTTGATTTGCTGCGTAGGTACATCTCTAGCTAAGAACGAGTTTGTTCTATCAGTAAGAATATAGCTTCCATTTCTAGTATGACCATGAACGTAAAATGGACCTTCATAATTTGGATCCGTCTTTCTGTTCTTGTTCTCAATATTCTTTATCATCACAGTAGACCCAACAGGATAAGGATTTTCCAAGATTCTGTGTCTCTTTCTAAAGTATTTACTATCCTTATCTTGCGTCTTCATTATCTGATCTCTGATTGCTGGTACAATGATTCTATCGATAAGATCTAGCTTCTCTTTGAATGCTTTCACATCAATTTCTTTCTCATGAAGAACAGGCTTATCTCCTCGATAATCCTTGAACTCATTGGGTAGTCTGTGGAACATTACTACGAATGGCATCATTCCGTGTAATCTCGATCTGTGAACATTTAAGCTTAAGGCTGTTCCATTCAGGTACAGATCCCAATCTTCACTTCGACCTTCCAACATCTTCATGATGATTGTCTTACAATTCTTAACTGCCGCTTCACAGCAACTGTTGCCTTGTGGTGTAAAGGCCAAACTAGCTCTATTCTCCACTCCTGCATGCTTCAGGATCTTTTCCAACAGGACATTGTGAAATTCAGCTCCACGATCATGTCCTACCACCCTAGGGTAGCCTAACAGGGAAAATATGGACACTAATTCCTTTGCAACAGTCGTAGCAGACTTGTCAGGAATAGCACGCAGTACAATAAAACGTGAAAATAGATCCAATACCACAAGGATAAAATTGTTGCCTCTAGGCGTTGTACAATCGAAACCACCTAGATCAAACACAACATGATCCATAATGCCTTCAGGCGCTTCTTGCTTTGGAGGATGATATACATGCTTTGCTAGATTGAACTGTCTGCATTTGTGGCAATTACGGATGTACTGGGTTATATCCTCTCTTAACCCTTTCCAATGCATGTTCAAATCTTGGTGTATTACTTGCTCCATAGCATGTATACCGAAATGGCCTAGCAGATGAGATTTTTCTAATATGCTCTGTTTCTCTTCATCAGTTGTAGGCGTTTGATAAACATCTAAATGACTGACGCAAAAGTAAAAATTTTCATTCTTTCTTTTCAATGAATTCGCATACGCTGTCAACTTAGAATTATTAAATAGATCAGAAGTCTTATTTGGAATGATTACTTTACTGGAATTGGAGATGCTGGAAGACTCACATGATAAAACTGTGTTCTTATCTTGTGCTCCCTTGATATCTTTTTTCCCCTTTTCCTCTTCATTCAGTACTCTTTGCTTCTTGTTCTTAGTAGCTGCTACTACCTCATCATCATGAGTATTCTTTCTCTTCTTATTACCCTTTTGCTTAACAATATCCTGTTTAATCAATATCTCCCTGTCGAGATCCTTGATGGAACATGTATTACCACTCTCCACCAGCGTATTGTATGGCCAGAAAAGACGCGACAATGTATCCGCCAATATATTGTTAATACCACTGCAAAACGTAATATCGAAATCCATTTCAAAGATAGTATCATAGTAGTTCTCAACCATTCTATCCAGTTTAGGTTTTGTATGTAAGAACAAAATACCGCGATTGTCTACAAACAAATGAAATGGGCGTCCATACAACCATTGATGGAACTTTTTGAATGCGTACACAACAGCAGCTAATTCACGTTTGGAGCTTCCCCATCGTTGCTCTGATGGTCCCAAACTGCGTGCAATGAAACCAAGATACTTGACTTTATTATTGATTACTTGATACATTGCAGCACCAATTGCATATGCAGAGCTATCCGTTACAACACATATGGGATAATTCAAGTTGGGCACACTCAACACTGCTGAGCTGACTAACAATTCCTGCAACTGCTTCATCAATGCAGTGTGTTCCGGCTTCCATACTTTGGTTATATCATGTGCGTTTCGAAGCTTATCTAGTGGGGCTGTCAATCTTGACAAGCAAGGTAAATTGGATCGAAAGAAATTGATCAATCCAAGGCGAGACATCAGCTCACGACTACTCTTTACGACAGGATACCAATCCAATACGTTGGAAACCTTTCGTGGATCGAGTGCTAGTCCATTACTAGATAGGCAGAAACCCAAAATATAGATGCTCTTTTGTGCAATATGCATCTTTTCCGTGTTGATACGTAAGTTAGCTCTAGTCAAACGATCAATAACTGTTTTGACAACCTCTGTATGCTTTTGTAGGTCGTTTTCAGTATAGATCGTGACATCGTCGATGAAATGTGTACAGACATCACTTAGATCAGCCAGCAAATTAGAAAGAATTTTCTGGGCATGAGATGAGACCATAGTTAATCCGTAAGGGCAGTGAGAGAAGGACCACGTCAGTCCATTCATGTCGGTAAACGTTAAATAAGGTCTTGATGCCTTAGCTACCTTAAATGCATGGAAACATTGCGATAGGTCGATTACCGTATAGAGGGAATGCTTCGACATTTTACGATGTAAATCACTTATCAAAGGCAATGGGAAACGTTCAAGCTTCTCTGGATCCAATGCATTATTAATAAACCGACAATCAATCACTACACGGTGCTCTTTACCAGTGTATTCGCCCTCACTGTTCTTCTTGCGTACAGTGAAAATGGGAGAGTTATGAGGTGTATTAGGTTTAGCTCGTTTGATCACACCATTTTCACGCCATTTCTCAACTTGCTTTTGGATCACAGGTCGCATTGCTTCAGCAATTGGAAATTGTCTTCGACATGTGTCCGAAAGTGGAGTATCCTTCTTTATAGGCAATCTAATTTCGCTATCAGGCAAATTACAATATGCTTTATGGCTGATACTAGTGTTTGCATCAATGAATGGCTGTAGTTCATTCATCATCAATTGACTCTCTTCCTTAGATCCATAAGGATCCTCATTTGGTATGGATTGGGTTCAATATCTGGAATCTCATATCCAATTCGATCAGACCAATCTGCAGCAATATTACCCAATGTAATACCAACTTTATACAGTAGATCCATGCCAAACACGCAATGGACATCATCAAATAAGTCAAAAACTTCAAATTTGGAATAGACAACTTTGGAGCCATAATTAATCTTTAGTTCCTCTTCAGTTTGTCCTTTACGATTAACAACAGTGTTACTTTGAGCCAGCTTAATAATACCATTTTTATTTACAACATTTAATTGCATGAAATCAAGTAACTTGGGCGAGATTGCACTAAATGTACAACCAGTGTCCAACAAAAACCATGTGTTAACCTTAACACCACTCTTTGATTCTAATATCACAGGTAGATAAAGAAGTCCATTAGTGTCCATGTTATTACTAGGCATCTTTTTGAAATATTCATTATTCAAATGCTTACATTCACTATCAGTATCCATGGATACGACTTCCTCCTTTTGCTTGTCCTTTGTAGAAATTGTGGCAACAGCAAAAGTTTGATCACTTTCCTCATCAGAGGATGACGAATCAGTATCATCATTGGAAGCAGGTCTTGGCACAATCAACTTGCTCTTCTTCTTTGTTATCTTTTTGATATTTTTGGGGTTCTTCTTGCATAATGCCTTATGCGCATACGTAAATGGTGTGAAACCACAATCATAACATTTAAGAACTTCACCAGGACTATCATTCCTCTTGCTTGATTGCTTGTCATGGCGGCGACCAGCACGACGAGTTTTCTTGTTGCTCAACGAAGCAGAGCCCTCAGCACGCTGATGTGCCTTGATCGCCTCCTTGATCTTATTGTTCAGTTCAGCGTCCTTTCTCTGCTTTTCCTGCCTATAATAATCATCTCTTCTCAACAAATCGTAGGCACTGCGCAACTGTGAGATAGCAAAATCCAAAGTGTCGCTTCCCTTGGAACGGGCTTGTGAAATGCCCATAGACACCGGTCCATACAAGTCGATATCCAGACCACGAAGCAGATAGTCTACCAGAGACGTATTTTCCTTGACTCCCGCTAAGTCCTTCAAGGAGTTAAACCTGTCAATGAAGTCTTCTAGATTGTCACAGTTGTCCAATTTAAGCGTCTTTAGCTTATTGAGTGCAGCTTTTCTTTCTTCTGCTTCCGAAGGGCTATATTTCACCTTGAGCTTGCTCTTGAACTGGCCCCAAGTAATTTCGGGATACTTTTGTATGATTTCTCTTGTCCAGGCAGACATACCCGTGGACATTTTCGGCTTAATAATTCTCTTCCAGTTTGCTTCGATCGACACACCACGAGACTCCAGTACATCCTGGAATTGTTGAAGGCATGCATCCATGGTAGGGTAGACAAACTTCTTGTTGTTAAACTTGTGTCCTTTCCATTGAATATATGGCGTATCTGGAGGTACTATGCTATTAGCAGCATTGGAATAGGCCATAGATGGGGAGAGCATTAGAGTATCATCAAACAACAAATCGTAGTTTTCCTTAGCCATGATCAATTGGCGTTTCAGGGCCCCAGCATTGGATGCAAGCGTGCCATCCTCAGGCATAGTGATAGACAGCCTTGTAGCCTCAAAAAGCCTTCTCCTCAACATCTTGATGTCCCTGGCCATGCTAGCCTGATGATCCATTCCCAAGGGTTGGATCTCACTATCGAAATCAAATTCCAATAGCTCACCACTATCATTCATGATAGTATCATTATCAAGAGTTGACAGATCGTCATCGCTCAATGCCTGATCAATGCGAGCGTCTTCGCTACAAGCATCAATACCATTATGCAGAGCATTATTGCTATGTTCATTTTGTAGAGACGACAAAGATGAACCAGAACCAAAACTTGCATCTCCCGATGCAGAGCGATGACCAACACCAGCTCCAACAGAAACAGTAGTAGGGTTTGCGTTATTCATAGTAGTAAGTGTAAAAAATTTATGGGATTCAAAAAAGTGTTATGTCAAAATACAATGTAAAATTGAATCTGCCAAAGAATTACACTTTTATTGAGAATGCATCCCAAGGATGCATTTATATACTTTTCATTATGCTAGGGTTTACAGCATGATGATGAACTATAATACAAATAGGTTTACTATCTACCCAACAATTGATTTGTAAATCATGATTAGCATGATTTACCCAAAGGACCTAAGAATAGCCTAAAACCTTTAGTGTGACACCTTGCTATGACATTTGATATAACACAAATAACATTCAGTACGATATTGCAACACTTTTTTATCAAGGTTAAGCACAAAGAATAAAAGGATTATTATTTGTAGCTTATAAAAAATGTTCGGTATTATAAAAACAAGAAAAGGCTTATTTGAATAAGATTAGACACAAAAAAACTAAAGATTTATTGATGAAGACAAGAGTTATTCTATTTATACTAAGTTCTGAATGCCAAAGTAGCAATTTATCTTGTACAACGCTTATCACATCTGGTGAACCTCAATATTTAGATAGCTGAGATGCACTTCACTTATCATAGCTTGTCCATGTTGTTGCACAACACAGACGTATCTACCCATCAAGAATACCTTAATCTTTATAGACAGTTGTAGCCCTTCCGGCACAACATCAATGTTCATCTGTATCAATCACATTATCCACATCAGGTATCTTGATTGGCAGCTTCTCGTCCTCCTCATCATCATCAACATCCGTTGCTAAGCAACCATGCTAAAGAAACACGCCTTCTGATTTAGCTTCCGTGTATTACCATGGTAATGCAAAAAAAGCTTTCTGCACAGAAAGAAGGCTCTCATATTCTTCAAGCATCTTCACAGTTAGCCGATCAGGAATCATCATGGATAAACGTAAACCTGAATACTTATGCCACCCATCAGCATCTCTATTGGATTCAAGCATCTGATAAAATTGACGACGAGAAGGTATGCACGATCTATCATAATCGAAGATGAGATTGTATTGGCATATTATACAAGCTGAGCACTTTACATCTTAAGCAGTAAATATTGAGTGTTCTGCTTTTACACAAAATAGTAGGTCAAAAGACAAATACTGTAGACTACTCTTTAACATTTTTATTGAAATAATACATAATATGGTGCATTACGGGAGCAAGTACCTTTTTTGTCGAATAGCCTGGCTATTCAGAGTCTTGAGTCTTGAGCTTATTAACGCTTTAAACATCTCGACATAATCCGTGTCCTTGATTACTTCATTTTTCAATATCAGCAGCGCTATCTCAACTGCAAACTTCTTTCCTTTGGCTAATGTCGACCCCCTTACTCTTTCAATACAGGCAGATATGGCATTTTCATCCATATTACTCTACTCCTTTCCGTTGAAAAGTATAGATTTTAACTTTTGCTTGTCCTCTTGATTCGATACTTTCCAATTCAACAATAGCGACCCAATGACTACAATGCTGTCAATTTCATCTAATGCATGTAAGCTTAAAGCACATGCGGTGCTGAAACCGTTGTCGTAAAATCTTTGCGATTTCAAATGCCAACCGAATCCACTTGCTCTCCTTGTGAAATTTCTTAGCAATCGGGATTGTCTGACTACTGGTGTAGAGGCGAGAGGAACGTAAACTCTCCAATAATCATTGAGAGCTAAACGATTGCCAAGAGAGGCACCGAGAAAAGCATCAAAATCATGATCGTTATAGTTACCACAAAGGCAAGCAGTAACCAAAAACTCAAAGTTTTTGAAGTAGATTTTGGCTTCGAGCCATTGATTCTCATACTCCCTCTTGTGTTCTACTACGAACTTGGGTTTTGAGGGGTGTTCACTCGTGATCGTGTTGTTTGCGCAATCATCTATTTCTTTTCTGCCCTCAGGTAGGCTTCGACCTGTGTGATGAATGCCCACGAACCATTACTAGTAATATCGATGCTTTCTACGAAACGACCGCCGACGAGCGCCACAAACGCATCTGCCTCTGCTTTTGATTTGGGTGTCTCAGCAATGTTCAGTATTTCCTCAGCATCGGCAAATTCATGTTTTTGCAGGATATTTTTGAGAGCAGTGGGAATGATACTTTTTGAATGAGTGCTAATTGCACCAAACGTGCTCTTGATATCTTGTATCTTCTCCCAAAGCTCAGCAACATCTTCTCTTACCAGAGAGGGGGTCCTCATTCCTCGTCTAGCTTCTTCTACTTCTTCGTTATCTTCGTCTTCATCTATGCCAAATCTTCTCTTCAATACGCTTACCGATGGCCGCCACATAAATATTTAGAATGAAACCTGTCTGGATGTTTGGCATTACCTTCTTAGATTGACTCTATTCTTGCATGAATGAGAGATGGCCTCTTCAAAGTAGCTACGGTCGCCTTGTTGCACATACAATACTAATTTATGATACTGTCTTTTCATAGGTAAACACTGTAAAAGTCGTTTAGCGATGCCGGCTCTTAATGTGATCTTTTCACAAGAGAAAGCTACACTTTCAAGTTGATAGAATCTACCAAGATATTGACGTAGATTACTGTAGTACTCAAAGGTGTCATTGATCAACACATGAACATGTCTTGTATTTGCCAGCATAAAGGAAGCGTTGACGAGCTGGGTGGTCTCTATGTCCCAAGTACTATCAAGTGGAATGTGACGAATGTGCTCCCACATTGATTTGCTTGTGCTTGCTAGTGTATATGTGTCCTTATGTTTGAGATTAGGAACAATGACTTCCCAAATATCAGGAGGGAAAATGCCGTAATGCTGTTTCGAATTGGTATCCATGTCAACGTCAAGAGATATGTAGCAGAAAAAAAGGACAACGTTCATGTATGCAAACAAACTCTTATTTTACTGATAACATCTCAAGCCTCGACATATTTTCCTCTGTATAATTTCGTATTTTGTGTGAATCCCTTTACACTTGATCCGCTGTGGTGTTACCATCCAATTAACTTGCCATCAGAGATTGGTTAATGTACTGTTTCAAATTATGTTTTCCGCCCTCCTTAAAACCTTAAAATGCATCCCAATATGTAAATAAACTACTCATGAACAATTGTCTAACCTGCAAAAGAGTTATAATCGATAGACGGTATACATGCTATTCAATAGAGAGAACATTGCACATTTTGCAGTTGATCTCATGTCATTTATTAAATCAAATAGTAGTTTGTGCAGGAAATCAGTATATGTAAAATTAAGGAGTAATCTTTCTATCTGAAACAAATACTATTGCACTTTCCTTTGTTATCAAAGCCAACTGTCTTTGATATTAACAGGATTAACCACGAGAAGGTGAAAGTGCTTGTAATCCCAAAAAATGGAGGTGGTTACAGACAATAGCCCCCCAGCTAAACCCTCATCTACCAAGTAGGAAACTTTAGCCGTTTCGTAAGTGACGTTCTTACTAAGAGCGTTCTAGTACCATAAAACAGAAGAGCATATCTCCATATCCTCAAAGTGCCTCCCGACAATACCCAATAGCCACATAAATCATCGCGAGGACACATTCCTCTGGAGCCGTGATAAGGATGATGAAAGACAAGCTCGACCATTTTCCTCGTTGTTGAAAGAAAGAGAAAAGGAGAAAATGAAAATTTACGAAATTTATAACCTGACACCCCCCCAAAGAGATATGCGTCGTGCTACGAAACACAAACCATTTTAAGTGTTTCAAGTGTTTCGAATCAAAGAAACCCATGTTATGTAGGATTGAAATGATAGTAATGAAATCTGCCTGGAGCCTCATATTGTCTTCTATCAAATTCAGTCTGAAATTACTTGTACGATTCAGCATGAAGAGAAATCAAACAATGCCAACATTTCATCACGCCTTTCATGCTAGTTGGTGTATTTAGTCAATGGCACTTAAAATTACTCACAGAAATATATCCAGCCAGATATTGTAATGATGTTTTCGCACAAAAAAAGTATCCTTGGAATGTTGGCTGATGGCAGTTTTTACAGTTACGCTTCATAATAGCGTTAATTCTCTATAAAAAGACTTTATATTCAACACTCGTATCAAATAGATACGTTTATTTAGATAAATGCGACTTACAAATTTTCCAAGATACATGCTCGTCCTTTTGATCTAATGCTCTTCATGACATTAACAATGAGTCAAAAGCTACAGTGCTATCAATGCTATCGGAAGCATGCATGCTTAATGCACAAGTAGTGCTATAGCCATTGTCGTATAGAAGAAGGCGTGGATGAGGGTTGATTCTGTTGTACCTGCTGTCTTTCTTCATTCATGAGGTCCATGGCAAAACGGTAATCAGAATGCTTCTCAGCAGAAGTAATCAGGGCATATTGATTGTACTTGTCGCAAAGATATGTTTCACGTAGTTGTTCCTGAGTATTGTATCTGGATCGATCTGGAATTTGTTCTAGAGATTTAGGCTTTGTCGATGCACTGTAGTAGGCACCCAGAAGGTACGTCTGTGCTAGGACGTCCTTAGTGGGTATACCAGCCACGCTACAGTTTCTTTCCAATTTCAAATAGCTTAACTAGGCGATTTTGGGTTTTTACTGGGGGACTGTAATTGCCTGCAACAATGCTTTTTGGGATTAGATGTGCTTTCACCTTCTCGTGGTTAATCCTGTTTTTCAAAGTGAAGATACTAAGCAAAGCACGCCTGTAGTTAATTTTAAAGAAAACAGGCTTCATCTATAAACATAATGATTTTTAGTTACCAATTAATAAAACAATGATATTGGTTCTCTTATTGTGGATCCACCAAGCCTTTGAGATTAAGATTTCACCAAATCAATCTTGATACCACAGTAGATTGGAAATATTACAGTTGGACAGTCTTTACAAATGTGAGCAATTGACAATGCATTAACCAGGGCCTCCTTGTCTCGAACACAAGAAATACAATGTCTGCATACCGAATTCATCCTTCCAGTGGGCAACAGATGCCACGTTTTCTTTTTGAGCAAGTATTCTTCTGCATATGCTTTTCTTGAAACCTCGTAGTTTGTGGATATTCTCTAAAGTCGTGCCAGCACTATTGTCAAGCAAGTGCCACAAACAAGCAATGAAAATACTAGGATGCGTACAAGTTGGTGTGCAAATTCACCCATCTTTATTCAACTGTTTATGCCATCATTTGTTGATGGTACTTTGCAATGTTCCCACCGATCATAGTGTTATTGAGCTGCTCCCATTACTTTCAAGCCTTTTATCTACCAAGATATGTGTTGGAAAATACCAATGGTGTCAGACAACAGAGACCATTTTGAACGAAACAAAAAAATACCTTGCAGCAACAACAACATCACCAAGAACCATTTAGATCAAACTCTGTACCCGTATTAGGCAATCAATTGCTGATAGATGAGGATTCGACACCAGCTACTACTACTACTACTACTACTACCACTACTACTACTAGTGCAATGGGTAATCCATTTGCAATGCAGCAGCAGCCTCTTCAAATTCAATATACAATGCAGCAACCACAGCAGCAGCAGTCTTTCATGTACCAACAACAGCAACAGCAGCGACCACAGCCAATTGTGCAAAACAATGTGTTTAGTAACCCTTTTGGATTAACAGCGACATCTTCATCTACTATCGCCACCACAGCGAATGACACTACACCTAATTGTAAGTATATTAGTGTAACATTAACTCTCTTTTGTCTAATTCTATTTCATGATAGTATCGTTTAATCAAGCCAGCATGGTGCAACAACCAATGCAACAACAGCAACAACAAGCTAATTTCTCTAATCCATTTTCTCAAATGACGCCAATGACTAGTTCGCCTTACACTATCAACAATAATACCTCTTACTTTATGCCAACGTCTACTACCCAGCCTCAGCAGCAGTCGTTCTTCAATCAACAGCAACCTCAACCACAGCAGCTATTCATGCAGCAGCAACAGCCTCAGCAACAATACCAATACCAACAGCAGCAGCAGACAATGTACCCTTGGTCATCTTCCGCTGGCACACCAAACACTTTGTTTTAAACTATCGCATCATGTAATGAATAAAAAAGAATTGAATTAGAGATGGATATAAACTCGTGATTTGGATAAGGAACCACTTTTCCCGACATTGGCATTGCAATGCGCTTGAGTAATGGATTTGCCGTGATATGACAACATGTGCATCACGAGTGATTGGGGTTTCAAAGAATACAGGTCATCATTTGGATGAGATATACATTATTGAAGACGTTCTTTTTTGTAAAGATATCCATAAAAATAGTTTATTGTACTTTGGGCCATTTAATATAAACTTTCAGTGCTGGCACAAGTACTTGAAACAACTACTTCTCTCAAAACACAAATTTCTTCTTTTTGATTACTTGATTATTCATAGCTTTCATCCTTGGAGCAAGCACAGTTTTGTACATCTCCGGGTACAATGACTTGTCCACTACAAGGTCGCGAAGAACCATCATCTCAATGTTGACAACCAGCCTTTTTCCTTTACTAAGGCGTAATTCCATTAGATCCGTTTTGTTCCCATCTGCGTATGGGTTTTTGAAATTGATTTGTTCTAACAGCTTTGAATTTGCCAATAATGCTGCCAGTTCTTCTTTCTTATCATCGTTGTTCACCATCATTCGCAGCAATAGCGAACCAGCAGCAGCAATGATGTCGTCGAGGGGAAGATTCAAGGCAGAGGCACTCGAGAATCCTTCATCATGAAATCTCTTTGATTTGTAGTGCCATTTGTAGCCACTTGCTTTCTTGGTGAAATCACGAAGCAGCCTGACATCTCGGATGTGAGCTTCGGTGTCTGATGCCAAGTACACTCTCCAGTAACTGTTTGTTGGTATGTTTCGTCCAAGAGATGCTCCTAAAACTGCTTGTGTATCTGAACTGTTGAAGCTTCCATGGACACATCCTGTGACTAAAAACTTAAGCTGGCCGAAATAAATCTTCGCTTCAGTCCATTGATTTCTGAATTCTCTCTTTTGCTCGATAATGAAGAGAGGATTCGCGCGATATCCAAGGGTAATAGTGCTGTAAGCACAGTCATCTACACTTGCAATGCCCCGGAGGTACACTTCGACTTGCGTTATAAGAATATACAATCCTTCAGTTGAAATCGCAATACTTTCTAGAAATCTTGGAGCCAAAGATTGAATTACGTTGTTTGCGGTTTCCACATTGCTAAGCTCTTCACGACGAGGAGCGTTTTGGGAGAGAATCTGCATATCCACATATTGATTGCTAGTCATCAATGATTTAACTGCGTCTGGGATAACCGCACGAGGATCATCATGGATCCCGCCAAACGTTTGCTTCATATCGATGATTTTGCTTCGCAAGTCTCCTATATCGTTCCTTACTGGAGACGGCGTCCTCAGTCTCCTTCTTCTCATATCATCAAGCTCGTTTTCTTCATCTGCTTCCTCTTGGTTCAAAAGCCTCTTGCTATTTTGGAATTTGAGTATGGAACTGGCTCTTTAATCGATTTGGGCGCTTACCCTCTAACCACCACTCCTCTCTCCTTCATGTACACTTCAACTTTTGTAAAACATCCAACTTCACTACCTTTTAGGTGTATCACAATATTATGTGATCTGTATATCCGAGGGATACAGCATATGATTCTAGTGGCTATTTTTTCCGTCAATGACAGCAATGTCAGATCAATACATGAGAAATGGACGATCGATGAAAGTAATGATTTGAGTTTGCCATAGTCGTTGATACTGCCTCTGATTCGAATTGAACTGACAGTTGAGTGATGAAAGCTACCGAGCTTATTGTCAGAGGGATCAATGGTAGTAAATTCAGGATAAGAAATCTTATTGACGATGTTCCACATCAATCTACACGATTTCGAGAGGCTGAATCAATCATAAAAGTTCAGAAATGCAATAATGCAACTCCAAACCTCTGTAGAAGCGCCAGCATTAAACAGTATAATTGTTTGAGAAGCCATTAAAGAGAGGTTTTCGCTCCTAGCCGTATGGTGCTCTAGATATGGCCATAACATGAAACACTTTACAACATTATGTAACAAATTGTAGTCGTGACCAATTGCTACTCCTTATTTTGACTCTTTTTGTACCCACACCTTTGATATCCTTTCTTTTCATTCAACATTTTGTTTTTTACGTAGACCTGTCTTCAACATTTCAAGTCCTCGCAGTTGCTACAGAAGGTGGGCCCCTCTCGACATGTCATGCTTAAAGATACACTACGGCTCAACTGATGTTCTCAAATGAGCACATCGATGTTCCCGAAAGGTGAGAAATGCTCTCATATGGGAACATCGGCGTTCCTAAAGAACTATTATAAGTCGGCCGATGTTCTTATGAGAACATCCGAAATGTTCCCATGTGAGCACATCCATATTCTTATATGAGCACATCGATTTTCAGAAATTTGAAAAAAGAATGCTCCAACCGGGGTCGAACCCACAACCTATCGGTTGTGGATCTGACGTTCTTCCCACTGAACTACCCGAATATCTTATTGATGTCAGATGCTAATACGTAGAGGTAGTATATGCAATCTGAGATCTGATCGAGATATAAATGGAAGTAGATATAGAGAGTGTGCAGGAAGATGTTATAGCCTTTTAGTTGAATGGATAAAAAGGTGCTTTATTAATATTATATTTGAACATTGATTTTATCCAATATAGTTTGTGTAATGTTGTGCGCTATCCAGGTTAATCGCTGTTTAATGTTCCTGGTAGCTGGCGCTCTAGGTTTAAACCTGCGCTTCTTATTCTTGTTTGTGTTTAGTCTGTCAATGATATCCTGCAGATCTAAATCACTGTCAGAATACCCTTCAACCCTGACATTGAAATATATTCTTTTACTTTAATAAGTAGTTATTAGGTAATTTTAAATTGCCATTTTCTCTTGCAATTTATAATACGTTTAGTAATTTTATGAATCTTACAGATAATAAAAGTCTCTCTGTTGCCTACAATATTATAGTTTAGCTATTAAAACCATTTTATTCATGTGGAAAACTACACCTTCTCAAATGAGAACATCAATGTGCTCATGAGAACATCAGTTGGGCCATAGTGCGCAATTGCTTGTAAAATCCATGTCAGTTTCTTGCCACTGCTTGACCCAATTGTATCTTTCTTCAATCTTCTCGGGACTATTTCGCTCTACAGAGTGGAAATGAGCCCTTTTAAGAGAAAAATGACGCTTTTCATAAAGAAATGTGTGCAAGGCAAATTGGTGAATATCAAGGCCAACAAACTAAGCATTCGGTTGTTCCATTATTTCTTCCAAAACTGAGTCTGGTTTTTCATCTACTATGCTGATCAAAGCCATTTTGTGCTCTTCTCGAAGTTTTGCCGGCCTTCCAACCTTGCTGCTCTCTTTTTTGTGTGGTAGGTTCTCCTCTTTTGCCAAACTCTCCGCACCTTTCTTGTACCAGTTTTGACCAGTACTGGGAGGGATATTTACCATTTTACATGCTGCGCGGATGCTCAGTTGTTTCTCGTAAACGTAAAATAAAAACTTGTCTTTATCTTCAGGTTTGTATGAACGGTACCTTTTTCTTTTAATTTCTCTTGAATCCACTTTTTCATCATCATCTTCTTCTACACTATCTGCCGCACTCGTCTTGCTTGGCTTTTCTAGTGGCTTCAGGTACGTATACTCACCAAAGTTGGTTATGTTAGCCAAAGGGTATTGTTCATTGTCTATCTCCATGGAGATGACAGCAACTGATTCACCCTGCTCATTGCAGAGATTGCCGTTTCCATCTTCGAAAATAAATTGATCCATTGAATGAAGTAATACTTGTGACAAGAAAAGAACTAAAAGTGCATCAAATACACTTTAATTTTTGCACGAAACTTATTTTGCAGGTGCACCAATCGTATTTTAATGAGTGCACCAAAATGATTTTTGGCGGTGCTCCAAATTGATTTTTCTAAGTGCACCAAACTGCTTTTTATTAGTGCACCAATAATTTCCGGAAATAGTGTACATCCTTTGCAAACGATGCTTTTGTAGCACAAGAGAAAACTTTTTCATCTTCCTCCAAACAACAAAAAGGGGAGGACAACTGTGCTCGAACAGCAGATCAAAATGCCATTACATGCTCATGTGTTTTTTGGATGCATTCAATTTCCCACAACACAAGATTGTCCTACATGTCAATCCCATCAGAACGTGGCTTGCATACCATGTCTCTTTCGGTCCAGATTATATTTGAGAGAGGCCCATGAGAAATGTTTTCCCTCCTCTCGTTCATTTTAAAATTCAAGTTTTTCCCTATTGTTCAAATGGCTAAATGATTTCCTATATGCTGTAGATGTATTTGTCGCACAAAATCTAGATTTCGTATCTTTGGTTGTTGTTGAGATCATCGGTGGAAAGCTACTAGCAACTTGCATCATAGATGCTAATGAATGCCTTGGCATTGCATTATGTTGCATGAAAAGGGTGTGAAAATGTCGCCATCAGGGGTTGAATCTCCATCATGATGGAAATCATAATCAGAAGCGGATGGCGAATCCAAAGTAAACCAACAATGAACAGTTTTTGGAATACGCTAGACTGTATTGTATAAAGAAATCATTGGATTTGCACATCAAACAGTAAGCGTTCCACAAGAGATCCGAGATGTTGTGCATGTATGAGATTCATCAATCAGTTCTGATGGTCATTGGTTGATATGAACAGGCCTTCATTTAAACTATTAGTTCCATATGATAAAAACGGATAATACATCGTTTGGCAACGGCCTCTTTCGCTGAGGATTTCCACATGTGCTGCATTTGATGGATGAAATGCTTTATCAACATGGACTTTTGCCGAGATGTCGAACATAGCATCAATTCCGTTCATATCCGGAGCGCTCCACGACGGGACCATGGATCATACAGCTTTAGATAGTCGCTTAGTTCTTGTGTGAACTAAAGCCATCGCCGATGCTTGACCCTGTAGTCCTATCAAGATTTACTGAGATGATGAATATATATTATGTGGAAGCTCTCCATGAATGAAATGAAACTGTGAATCTGACTC